GGGCCTCAGGTTGCATCTCTGAAATGGAACAGATCTAGAGGCACCTGCCCAGCTCCTCTCCCTCATCTGTAACTCACCTTTCATGGCACAGACCACTGAGGGATGGACAAGGAACAGGCCTGAGGGAGACCCATGCGTGGGTCTGGAGCAAGGGTAGTAGATGGTCTAGTCTGTTGTGGAGCTGGAAAAGAAGTTGCTAGGAGATTGGGCTGGACCTGCCTCCAACCCAATCCAAACAGAGACCAAAACCAAAGGATCTATTCACTAGAACTAGAACTAGAACCCAATGCCACGGATGGCAAATGGCACCCAGAGGGCAGAGGGCTGGGCTTGGAGGGCAGTGGCAGAGCTGACGGGGTCAGGGGCTGCGTAGAGGCCCAGGGAGTTCCAGCGCAGCTCCCCTGCAGCCCCCATGGGTCCTCAGGGGACGCCAACCCCTTTCCAGCCCACCTCTCAAATGGGATTAAAACAAACGGACAAGGAATAGTCACAATGACGGCTGCAGCGGCTGCCAGATTGGACCGCGGCCGGCTTTCCTGGGTGTCACCCCAGAAACCCCCTTGGGCCCCCCATGTCCCTTCTGAGAGAGGTGCTGTTGCGCTTCCTGTTTCATAGCCAAGGAATCGTCTGAACTGAGTGAGATGGAGGGAAGCTTCCCAGAACACAGCCCTCAGCGCAGACTGGAGGGGAGGCTGGAGTAAAACCAGGTGTGGGGACGTGTTAGGAGGGTGAGACTTCTAGGGGCCTCCGCCCTCTCCAGTCTTGGACGCAGAAGCCTGTTGCCCCAGAGTGACCTGTTGGGCGCTGGGCAGCCGGCTGTGTGGCTTGGCTGTGTGGCCGGCTGTGTGGCCAGCTGAAGCTGGGGGCGGGGCCCCACACCGGCAGTCAGGGGTCGAGGGGAGAACACACTCACAAGGAGAGGCGATTGGATTTCTGGCAACGCTCGAGCCTGCTTTCGATGGAGCCTGGCCTGACAGGTTGGTGGGCAAGGGCTGCCCAGGCCTGCGCAGGCGCCCCTTCTCCTCGAGGAGGGGGCCTCCTGCCTTCTTCAAGGCCCATGTCAGGCCCTTGCCCCTTCACCTCCCGGGGCCTGGCCGTGCAGGAGGGGAGGGTTCCCCTGAGCCTGGAACCTGCCCGTCCAGCCCCCAGCCCCCTTCAGACTGGGGTTCACCCTCAGCCCTGAAAGCCTTGCTCAGCTGGCAGATGAAAAGCCAGGCCTAGGTGCAGGGCCCAATGATTCAGGAGGTGTTAGAACACTCGATGATCATGTTAGAATACTTGATGATGAAATGTCCCAGCAAGAGCTCTTACTGACCTGGATGGCCACGTGGCATCTAGCCAACTCTGGCCAAGTTGCTCCAGAGGAGTGTTGTGAGTCCAGGGAGGCACACCACCCAGGACCGAGCTCCATCTCCCCAGGGCCTGGCAGAATCCTCCAGGACACAGCCCCAGCCCTAGCCCTTGCCCCTTCCTCCAGAAAGCCCTCCTGAATTGACCTCTCCTTCTGCACGCCCTCAGCACCTTGTGGGCGCCACGGCCTTGGCTTGCCAGTCCCTGAGAGGCAGAGCACAGCTCTCAAGTCAGAGTCTGAACCTTGGCTCTGCCCCTCACAAGCTGTGTGACCTTAAAAGAGCCACTGGCTTTTTTGAGCCTTCCCTCTTCAGCTGTAAATGGGGACCACCTCGGCCTCAGCTGTAAATGGGGACCACCTCAGCTGGCAGGCAAGTCTGCCGTGAGAACTCAGTGGCGCACGGACCGGCCCAGGTCCCCAAGCTGCAGGGCCCGCCTTCTCCCCCCACCCCGCACCCTGCCATCTCCCATATGAGGGGGGGTCCAAAAGAGCCCGGAATCTCTCTGTAAAAAAACTGTGTATTTATTCTTACATGTTTAAACTTCAGTCACCTTCAAATCCTCTCCATTTCATGCAATACACCTATTGAGACTTTTTTTCCACGTCTCAAAACAGTTCTTGAACTTGTAGATTTTGATGCCTTTTAGTGCTTCCACCATTTTTTGTTTCACCTCTTCCACACTGGCAAGCGTTTCCCTTTGAGGACTTTTTTCACCTGGGAAACAAGAAAAAAAGTCCCTCGGGGTGAGATCGGGTGACTAGGGAGGGTGGAGCACGGGAGTCATACCGTTTTTGGTCAAAAACTGCTGAACACTTAGTGCAGAGTTGGCAGGTGCACTCATAAATCACCCATCACGAAATGGGCAAATGCTTTGAAAATGTCTTCAAAAAAAAACCTCACTGAAGGCACGCACGGCCTCTCACAACACCACCAGCTAGAACGCTGATCCCAGAACATGCACCTGTCAGGGGAAGCTTGCACTACAAGGGGTCCGCCCTCCGGAAGGTCATTTAGGGTTTTCTTGGGGGCCCCCCCGCACACCTCGCAGCCTCCTTTGGTGTTCTGCCGCCAGGCCCTCTCGAGGCCTTTGCCACTCAGCTGACAGGCCTACGCCTTAGAAATGAGCATCAGATCAGAGTGAGTCTCTGCTAAACGCTAAAGAGGTGCTCGGCCACACCACGTGCCTCCTCTGCCTTGGGCAGCCCGTCCAGGCCCCTTACTCTTATTGCACCAGGTGTGTACCTGCCCAGCGCCACTGCACTGGCAGCTCCTGCCACCTGGGATGTCCTTGCCCTAAGTTATTGTCATCGTGAGCGCCTGCTCTTTGCTCAGGCGTCCAGGCTCAGTGCCGCCCTGCTCCAGAGCGTTCCCTGAGCCTATCATCTGCAGCAGGGTCACCACATCCAAAGCCACTCTGCTCCATCTTCTGCTTTGTTTACTCTCAAAACTTGTCCTGAGTGCCCACGTATTCATGTGTTTATTGTCTCTTGCTCATCAGCCTGTGAGCTCCTGAGGAGGGGCACCGCATCCATCTCGTTCCCTGCAGTGTCTCCGGGGCCTAGATGGGAGTCTGGCCCAGTTGGTACCCAAGAAGCGTGGGAGCTGGTAAAGGACTTAGTTGGTGAAGGGTTGCCATCCGTCTTGTGGACACGTAATGCCGGGTCCGGCGCACCTACCGGATGGCTCCTCCTTCTCCCGGGCTGGTGCCGGCGGGGCGTGCCCCTCTTACTAGCTCAGGGCCGCCGGGGGTGATTGCACTGACCGGAGGGTTCTCAGTGTCTATTAAATGGGGCCTCTGTCTTGGGTCTGGGACCTGATGACACACCCTTCACTGTCCCTGTTCTAGGCATCACTCACTTCCCTGAGAGGGAAACATGAAAATAAGATTAAAGCAGAAAAATACCGTGGGTCCAAAGTAGCTGGCAGCTCCTCCCCAGGCAAAAGCTAGACCCTGGCTTGGGCTGAGGCCAGGGTGAGGGGGACAGGACCCTGCTGGGCAGGCCAAGGGACGCAGGGACCTTAGCAAGGAGGGACCTGGGGGTAAAACCAACATCCAAAAGCAATTTGTCTGAAAGTGGCCAGTCCTCGCCAGCTCACGTAGCAGCCCTAGGGCAGGTGTGCAGTTGGGGCCCCTCAGGGCTAGCTCTGCCCTGGGCCCCACTTCGTCAGCCAGTCCCTTGCCCCTCTGAGCCTGTTTCTTTATTTGTGGAGCATGGGCACTAGTTGGACCCATTCCCAGGGGTGTGGGGAGCGTGAGGTGCAAAGCCCTGTCCACTGCCGCACCCAGCGGGCACCCTGAGGCCTCTCCCCTCTGATGGCAGTGAAGTTCCTGGGCTCCCTCTGGTCACAGCAGCTTTCTGTCTGGGTCACTGCACTGGGTGGGAGGGGGAACAGCCTGCCTCTGGCATCTCCATGTCTGTTACCTGTCCACCAAGTGACTCAAATCTGGGGGTGGAGGTGACCAAGGGGTCACTGCAGGCATTTGGGGAGTCACCAAGGCACTAAGACCCAGGTTGAAGCAGTGAGACACTTCACATGTCCCTGGCAGGGCCGAGGTGACCGGGGGGAGGCGTGTTGTCAGGTCCTGTAGCCAGTGATGGCGGACGCACCAGACCGCGCCCAGGCACCACCCCCACGAGAGAGCCCTTACCTGCCCCTGCTCACTGTCACCCCCATCCTCCCCACTCCTTGCCCCCAAGGTCCTGGGCCTCTATGGCCCTGGCTCGTTACCCTCTCCTGCCTCTCCATCGCTCCTCTCAGTCAGCCAGCACTGGCCTCTCTGGTCTGCGCCTTCTAACTGTCTAATGGCGAAGGAAAAAGGCAGGTGAGCACTATTTATAAAGTAAGGGTTGGGAGGCTGTGACTAAGGGTCAGAGCTTCTCTGTGAGGGATTCAAGGGAAGGGGCAGAAAACTGCAAGACCTAATGGGGAGGCCTAGTGAGACCTTGCAGGTGCCGAAGTGTCCCAAAGGCAGTCTGCTGGACAGGAGCGCTTTTCCATTTCCGCTGCTCTTCCCCCGACGTTCGGTGTGCAGGACCCTGAGTGGGAGGAGAGGGTCCGCCAACCCCACCTGCCCCCACCTGAGGCCAGACTTGCCTGCCAGCTCACTGGCCACTATCTTCAACCCCATTGGCCTACCCCACAGCACAGAGTGGCCCTTCCTCGTGGCCGGGAGTAGGAGCTTCCCGATCACGCCCTGGCGCCTCTGCACTCACTGTACCTTCTTCCCAGGATGACTGCCCAAGCCTCCTCTGACCATTGGTCTCATCGTCTCCAACAATGCTGTCCCCAGCAGTGGTCCACAGTGCCCATCCCCCTAGACTTCTCCACTTTCAGCCTTTAATTGGCACCCACTATTCTAGCATTGCACATCTGTTCCTCCTCGGCCCCCACTCCGGAGCTGGCAGTGGCCTGGGCAGGGGCCCCGCCTCCCATCCTCCCAGGGGGATGAGGAGGAACGAGAGGAAGGTTGCGCCCTCTCCTCTCCACCCATCAGTGGGCCCCCTAGCAGGGCCTGTTCAGCCACATCAGGTCCCTGGGCCTTGGCTGACCCAGACGTAAAGTACGCTAATGATAAGGTCAAAGGGGACACGCTGTGGACGGGACTCAAGAGGCCCCACTCAGGGCTCCACAAATAAAAGGCACAATTTTATTATCATTACAAAAAAACCAGTGGAAGAAAAAAGACCACCAAACTGGGTTTTGTTATAATAATTATCTTATAAAGTCTCATCAGATGTGTATTTCTTTCCCTCTCTCCGGCGGCAGGAGCGCCTTCCTAGGAAGGAAGCAAACCCAGCAGCTTGGCCCAGCCCGTGTCCAGCTCTGCGCGGTGGAGCTCTGCCGGCAGGGGTGGGGGTGGGGAGCAGCAGGCCCGCGGTGGGGGCGGGGGGCTGCAGCTTTGGCTCCATTTTCTTGCCCGTTTGTCTGCCCTCCCGGAGCAGGGCTGGCGCAGAAGAGGGCGGACGCAATCATGGGTGGGGAGTCAGCACCAGGACTTCCACGACTGCCTCGGGTCCAGCGCCTGTCTCAGGTCGGGGCTCTCCGCAGGGAGGAGCTGGAGAAGCTGGGGTCTCAGAGCACCCCCTCGGGGGCGGGAGGTGGGGCTGGCTCACCCTGAGACCAACCCCAGGAGAATAAATAAATAAATACTGTATAACTGTGCAGTGCCCAGCCTGGCCCGCTCCCCCACCAGGGGGCTGTCGCTGTCAACCTCAGTTCCTCTGGCTGCTATCCTCCCGAGAAAGGCAGGTTGGAAGGAGGGGGCCAGCCCCACCCTGCAAACTGAGGAACCTGGGCCGGAAGAGTCTATACAGTTCATGAGGCCACAGCAGGTGAGTGGGGGCCTGGGCCCGGCCCACGGGGCGAGACAAGATCCTGCCTGTCTCCCTCTCTTCTGACACGTGGCCCACCACCATGGAGCCACATGGGAGCTGGGGCCCAACCTCCAAGCTGTGTGACACCGCCCCCTCCACCTTGCCCCAAGCCTTGCTCCTGCTGACTCTTCCTGGTCCAGCTGCCAGAAGCACGTGGGCACCAGGATGACTGGAGGAGGGACAGCGAGAACCCAGGTCCAGCTGGGGCCAGTGTCCCCTCCAGAGGACGGCTGGGTGAGGCGAGGAGGCTGCTCGGCCGGGTCAGAGCTGGAAGGGGTACTGTCGGAGGTAGTCGGCCATGCGCCGGGGCAGTGGCAGGCAGTCCACGTCGGTCACCAGACGGTTGATGACCAGGCGACACAGGTGCTGCAGGCTGCGGGCACTGCTCCTACGCACAAAGGGCTGCACCAGTTTTAGGTGCACAGCAGTGGCCACAGGGGCGGGCAGCGCTGGGTCACCAGGAGCCTCCTCCTTAGGGGTAGGCCAGGCTGGCGCGGGGGCAGGATCGGGGCTGTCGCCTCGGGTGTCAGCAGCACAGGAGGCCACATAGTGCTGCACGAGGCTGACGACATCTGGGAAGGCCAGGATGCGCGGCCTGGACAGGCAGTTGGAGTCCAGGCGGAAGCTGGAGTCGGCGTACTCGATGCGCACGTTGGTGGGGCCACGGGTGGTTTTGACTGACAGCGTGAACAGGTAGCTGGGGTGGGTGCTGTCACGTACTAGGAACGTGCCCTCTGGCATCTTCTGCAGGTGTTGCCGGGCCTCACTGGCCGTAATGGAACCCCAATACCAGCCTAGGTAGGTGGAGAGGGGGCCGAGAGACTGGTCACAGTGGAAATTATCAGGGGGCACCAAACAAGGGTGCCCCTTCATGCTTCTCTGGGAAGGGCTGTGCCTCCCCGCTCAGACTCCCCAGGGCAGGGCTACGCCTCTCAAATCAAACTTAACAGTCAGAGCTAAGCTTCCTCCTTCAGACTTCCCAGGCTAAAGCCCATCCCCCTCTGCAGACTTACCAGATTCCCGAAGGTAGGAGAAGGTCTTGGCTATGCACAGCAGGTCTTCCTCGGGGTCTAGCACCTTGGGCTCACTCTCGGACTGGGCTGGGATCTCCTCTGCCACCTCCTCCAGGAAGGCCCCGGCAGGCAAAGGCTGCATAGCTGGCTCAGGCTGGGGCCACAGAGGCCGCTGCCCGATCCGCTCCACAGCCAGCAAAGGACGAGGTCTGGAAGGGAGAGGGTGGGCGGTGAGTGGAGGCCGTGTGCTCTCCCCACTTCAGAGATCCCCTTGGCCCCAGGCCGGCTCCGTGACTCCGGCCGGGCCATCTCACTATGAGTCCCAGCTTACCCCTGGCCCACCTGTGGGCTCAATGAGTCCAGTACCACTCCTCCCACTGATCATCACAAAATTCCCCATGACTGCCTCCCCCACAAAAGGGTTCTCTTCTGAAAGAGACGTCTCCACCCTCCAGCATTTGTTGAACGGTACGTAATCTCTCTCTATTATCCCTCTACTTTGCACCAATCAAAACCACAGACCATTCCCTAGAGATATTTCTAACTCACAGTGGCCAGCGGGTGTCCTCACCACATTGACAGGATTCAGTGCAAAGACTCCTCACACTGCTGCCCTCCTGGCTGAGGTGACCTGATTAAATGCACCGGCCTGATAGGCGATGGGAGGGACCTCAGTCCACAGTGGGCAGGGCTTAAATAGGTCAGTGTCCGATCCTGCCCTCTGCCCCTCCCAGCTGGGCAGTGGCCTCTAAAGGCACTGGTAAGTCCCACCTCCCATAAATATGAGCTCCTGACAAAGGGCAGGGTATTCATCCCCATTCCAGGTCCCACCCTGGCAAGCCAGCCTTACTAGGCTCTAGGATCCTATGCAAACCTTGCTCTTCACTCGAACTCTTTCCCCACCCGCAGTGAGGGGTCCTACCAGCCCAGGTACCGAGGGCTTCAGCCACGCCATATCCTCGGCTGGCTAGAGCTGGATTGCTGAGCCAGTCCTGATCTGAGCAGTAGCTCCCCTCAAGGGGAACCCCACCCAGAATGGTGATCCTGGGCCTCCCGGGAGTGAGGGGCACAGCCATGGTCTTCCCTCATTGCTCACAAAATGTATCTTTAGGCTTTAGCTCTGGGTCTGCTTCCCTTCTGGTCCAAGGTAGTGAAACCATGGGCCCAACCCTTAAGAAAAACTTATTACCCAGCCATAAAAAAAAAAAAAAAAAAAAAGCAAAGGGTGTCACGTGGGACGCAGGGTCTCCCCGCTCCTGAGACGACCCTGCCAGGCCAAAGAAAGGAGTGGGGGATGGCCCTCTGGGGAGAGATGACAGTGCCAGGGACGGCTCCAGAGGCAGGAAGAGGTGGGCCGGGGCCGGCAGCAGGAGCCACACCCAACAGTGAGGGTCAGAGACGACCCTTGGAAGATTTGAACGAAGGAGGGCCCGAGAACCCATGAGCAGAGGGGGCCACAGACTCTGGCACACCACGCCTGCCTCACCCTTTCCCTCGCCCACTCTGGCTGCACTGTGGGGGCTCTGGAATCCTGCTCAGGGTGCGGGGGCCGAGTTCCAGGGAACTGGCTGGTGGCCTGCCTGTCAGCCTCAGAGATCAGCCTGGGCCCAGGAATCTTCCAGCATGGTAGGCAGCAAGCCAGTCAGGCTAGAGACTCTGGGGGTGGCCAGCTGAGCAGGACACACACGGATGCGGGCAACTCTAGGGCCGACAGGGTGTCTGGGCGTGTCTGTGACTGTCATCGTCACGGCAGGGGCGGTGGCTGCTGAGATCCAGGTGTGGGTGGCCTGTACGTGTGTGTGCCTGCTGTGGAGCCCAGCCTTTGAGTCCCACCTGGGGACACATGCCAATGAGGCAAACTCAGCCCTGAGGGGGGACCCCTCCACAAAACTGGTAGCCCAAACCTACAGTTGGGAATCCTTTCCCGTAACCCAGGAAGGCCCAGCTGGCCTGTGGCTGTGTGTGTGGACATCTTAAAACCTTGCTCTCTGCCCTGGCTGGGGTGGCTCAGTAGACTGAGTGCCGACCTGCGAACCAAAGGGTCGCCGGTTCAATTCCCAGTCAGGGCACATGCCTAGGTCGCGGGCCCGGTCCCCAGAAGGGGGTGCGCAAGAGGCAACCCACATGTTGATGTTTCTCTCCCCCTTTTTCTCCTTCCTTTCCCTCTCTCTCTGGAAATAAATAAATAACATCTTCAAAAAAACACAACCAAAAACAAATCTTGCTCCCTGACACCAAACACTGGCCCTGCATTTCAGCTGAAGCAAAGTGAAAGAGAGTGCGGGACTCCAGAATTGGGGGACGGGTCTGAGGAAGGCAGTGGTGGGGGGGTGAGGTGTTCAGGAGCCCCAGAATTCGGAGAGGAGGAGTGGAGATGCCGCGACAACCCGGGAACAACATAGAAGCACACTCCTCCTGGCACCCCCAGGCCTCCTCCTGGGGGACAGCAGCTCGGAGCGAGGGCACGGGGCACTTCAGCCTTGCACGTCCTTCCTCACTTGGCACCACCCAGTTCTCCTAACGGCAGCCAATGGGCCACCCAGCTCTCTTGGGGGCATTCTCAGCTGTCAGATCAGTTTGGAGAGGATCAGACCCTTTGGTGGAAGGTGAGGCTGACGATCTGGGAGGAAGGAATGTGCCAAGAATGCTCAGCTGAGGCCAAGACTGTCTTATCAGCCCCACCCCACGCCCGCAAGTCTTTGGGAAACTTGGAGAAGAGAGGCAGGATCCCAGACCCGGCTGAGGGGGGGCGGGGTGAGGCAATTGTCGGGGTGTCCCAACAAGACCAGGCCAAACCCAGGCTCTCCCAAGAGCTGCTGGTCAGCAGATGCCAGCCCGAGGAGAGGCAAGCTTCTCAGGCTGGTTCCCAAGAAGAGACTAATTGCTAGCCCGTGGCAGGAGAGGGGATGACCAGACAGAGAGGGGCAGGGGCTGGCTCAAGGTCACCGGGTGCAACGCTCCGGGCCCAGAAGGGAATCTGGGCAGATTAGCCGCGCCTTTGAGGATGCACTGCCATCGGCGCCTACCTGCTCCAACCAGAACCCAGGCTTAGCCCACCCTCTGTTCCCCTCTCCTCGTCGCCAGCCGACCCCCAGTTTCCCTATCCTCAGTTGTCACCATTCCCTGCTGTCACTCCCCATGCCCTTCGGCCCTCGATCATCTCCAGGTGAACCCAGCAAGCCCTCCTCCCCGGCAGCTAGCACGAGGCCGGTACTCTCCCCGGTCTTGGGCGTGGAGGCTGGGGGGAGAACTGCGCTTACTCACCCCGGAACGCAGAGGACCATGTCCCGGCAGCAGCGGCGGCAGCTCGGGAGCTGGGGCTCGGCCGGACGGCGGCGGCTGGAGGAAGCCTGGGGAGCGCAGGTCGCGCTCTCGGGGAAGACGACTGGGGCGCACGGGCGGCGGGAAGGGACTGAGAAGCGGCGCGCGGGCGGGCCGGGAGAGCGCCGGGGGCGGGCCCAGAGGGCGAGGCGGGGCGAGCTGCCTAATCTTTTGTCCTCTGTGTCCCAGCCCTTCCCGGAAGCGACGTCTTCCTAGAACCGCGGGCAGTGCAGTTGGCCCGCGGAGGGGCGCGGGCGGGGGCGCCGCCTCCAGCCTCCGGAGCGGTGAGGCCTCAAAAGGAAACACCTTTGACAGATTTCCAAGAACTTTCCAGGAAAAGGAGGCGGGGCCCCAAACGCCGACCAATCGCAGCACAGGAGGCGGGGTCAAGTGACCAGCCTGACGTAAACAGGCGGGTTTGAGCGTGAACTAGACAGGAGTAGGGAAGGACCCGATTTAGAGCAGGCGAGGGAGTGGCCGAGGCTCTATCGCTCCGAGCCCAGACTTCCTTCGGGCACTTAACTCTTTTGGGAACAGGCACCCGAATTCCTTGGCAGATGGCAGAGCGTGGGCGGGGTCACAGGCCTCCAAAGGTGTATGTCTGCGGTGCAAGCCCCTCCTCTGCGCTGCGCTTGGACTCTGGGACTCCGTGTGTAGGGTGGTGGGAAGGTGAGAGGCATAGGGTCGAGTCTGGAAAGAGATACGGGGGAGAGGGAGGGTGAGGAGGGAGGCCCCAGATCCAAGCCTGATGGAGGTCAAGCCTGAGCCAAAAGGATTCAGGCAAGAACCTTGTCTCTGAAAGCGTTTGGAGAGGAGACACACACCTCAACCTTTTGCATCTGGCAGGGCCATCCAGCGTCCGCCTGCTGGCCTCTGACCTGCCGCCGATCAGGGAAGAAGTGGCAACCTACTTGGAGAGGCAGGCAGCGGCCAGTCAGCCCACGGCTGACCCCACAGGACACAGTCCACTTGTGTTTCTGGGCTGGTGGGTCTTAAAAAAAAAAAAAGCGAAAGTGAGACCTGGAACCCCAAACATCTGGAGTTAACTGACAGAGAGTGATAAAGGTAGAGGGACAGAGCAGTGACACTGGATTCCATCCATATGGAGCACTTGCTAAATTTGATCCTCAACAGCTGGCATTGCCCCCGTTTTGCAGACTAAAAGACTGAGCCCCAGGGAACAAAATGCCTTGCTAGGAAATAGCAGGGTGGGAGTTTGATCCCAACTCTGCATCATGAGCTCATGCTCCTACCAGGGACCTTCTCCACCTATTCCCAGTTCACTGGACTCACCAAGGAGCATTTTGAGAGACCACTGGAGCTGTGCACACCTCCTCTAAGTCCTTGGGCCAGAAGAAGGGTAAAAGAATTGGAAAAGTGGAAGGGTCCACGCCCCGCTTCCCCCACTGCCCAGTGTGTATATCCCAGGCTCCTTGGACAGAAGATGAGCTCAGGTCACCCACTTTGGGCACCCAGGCTGGGGCACCTGGGTAAGACAGTTCTTCAATAAGAACTGTTTACTGTGCCATTACTGTAAAGACAAAGGGACTTCACAGCTGCCAAGCAGCAGAGCTAGGATTGGAACCTCGGTTTCTATGGGGCCAAATCCCAAGCTCTCTACCCCAGGACTCTCCCCTTTCCCTCTAATTGTAGCTACTTTACTGAACGCATACTATGTGCCAGGCGCTCTAGGTGATTTCCAGACTCATTTCATTGTGTAACTACGACATGTTATCCCCTCTTTACAGGTGAGGAACCTGGGGCACAGAGATGTTACAATGTAACCTAGATCTCACAGCTGGCAGATGGTGAGTCAGGGCTTGATGCCCAGGGCCCCAGCCCCTCCCCCACTTCCTCTCTAGGTGCCTGTCACTTGCCAACTCCTAGACATCCTTCAGGATCCAGCTGAAAGGTCCTCAGTGAAGCTTTTCTGCCCCCAGACTGCTCAGAGCACTGTGGGTGTCCAGCTCCCCTACAGTGATTTTTCAGTTGTGTGTAGTAAACTAAAGGGCCTTGAAGGTTTTGCTCTGCAACTATCCTTTGTAAATTTGACAGCGCTACACACCTCACCTGGTGCTGGAGACAGTGGTGTGCCCCAGTTTTTCTCCAGGTGCCTACCTGCCCCAGGTGTTGGGGGTAACCTCTGGCCATCTCATTATCACCCGCCCTGCACCGGCTGCTTTCCGCGCAACCCTTCTTGACTGCTTGTCCCACACTGCCACCTAGTGGCAATTCCTCTCCTGGTTTCACTCGCCAGATCCTCAGCCTTGGAGGCTGCGCCCCACGCAGGGGCCGCGCTCGGGATCTCCCTGCCCCTCCTCACCCTGAGCAGTTAGAAGATGGGTCACAGAAGTACACAGCAGTTTCTTCCGCAAAGTCTGGCTCATATGTATCGATATTTTCCCCATGTGCGGCCTCTCCTTTCCCGGAAGGACAGTCCGTGTGTGTGTGTGTGTGTGTGTGTGTGTGTGTGTGTGTGTGTGTTGGGGGTGGGGAGGGTATTCAGCTCCTCCAGACATTTACTGGACCCGTGGTGACTGCAAGCTATTCCAAAGGCCTCAGCCGCATCCCCGTGGACATACAGCTACCCTGAGGGCTGTGGGGCAGAGTTTGTCACCAGGAACCACCCCTGCCCCTGCCCAGCCATCCCAAATACTGAGTCCTTCCGTCAGTGTGTAGGTGGATGTGGCAGGAGGCTGCTGGAACGTGAGCAGCGAGGGGAAGCCATGCGTTCTGACTCAGGGGCCAAGGGGGCAATTGCCAAATATCCGTCTGTGTGGAACCCATGAGGGGAATGTGTGTGCTCGTGTAAGCACTGGCCTCGGCTATGGACTGCGAGGGTGGGGGCATCGCCAGTGCTGCCTTTCCACCTTTCTGTATAGTTTGAATTTATTATAATAAGCAAGTTTTACTTGTGGAAATAAAATTTGTAAAAATTCTCACAGAGGATATGTTCATTGATTTTTTAGAGATAGAGAAAGGGAGAGAGAGAGAGAAAAAAAAACATCAATGTGGGAGAGAAACATCAATCAGTTGCCCCCTCACACACATCCCCGTGCACACCGCATCTGGTAATTACACCCACAAGCCAAGTATATGCCCGGGGATCGAACTCACAACCTTTTGGTGTACAGAATGATGCTCCAACCAACTGGGTCAACTGGCCGGGGCTACGCAATTAAAATGTTTAATGAAAAAAGACACTAGTTTTTACAAATACAATTATAAAAATCTTAGAAAAATGGTAATCTAATTCACTCTTTTATTTTTTAAAAGAATTTTAAAAAATATTTTATTTTCTTTTTAGAGAGAGAGGAAGGGAGGGAGAGAGGGAGAGAAACATAGATATGTGTTTGCCTCTTGCACGCCCCCTAGTGGGGACCTGGCCCTTAACCCAGGCGTGTGACCTGACTAGGAATTAAACCAGTGTGGTCCCCTTTGGTTCACAGGCCAACACTCAATCCACTGAGCCACACCAGCCAGGGATAATTAACTCCATTTTTAGAAAGCATGTTATTGGGCAGGGGTGTCCAAACTTCTGGTGTCTCTGGGCCACACTGGAAGAAGGGTCGTTCTGGGCTACACATTAAATACACTGTGACATGTAATTACACACACACAAAAATCTCATAATGCTTAAAGTGAATTTATAATTTTGTGTGAGGCTGCATTCACAACCATCCTGGGCCACATGTGGCCCGCAGGCTGCGGGCTGGACACCCCTGTTTAGAGCATGCACTTGGCTGCGGGGAGGAGACAGCCACGACCCACTGCTGCCTAGTCCTCTGCTTGTGAGTGGGACTCTGCGTGCTCAGCCCGGGGTTCACCTGGCCCAGGCCAGTGGCCTCCAGAGTCAGGACCCTTCTCCAGCTTTCAAGTAGTCGAAGCTTCCAGATCTCAGGGCTTCCTCCAAGGCTCTGAGGTCTTGGATCAGATTCTCAGGTGGAGCTCAGGGACAGAGGCCCTGGGTCCAGCTGGGCATAAGTGTGTGTGAGTAGGTGGGTTGTGTGCTTGTGCACGCTGGTGTGTCTCTGCATGGGTGTGAGCATGTGTGTAAAATGTGTGCACCTGTGCGTGCATATGTGACCCGTATGAGAGTCTGTTTGCTCATGTGGATGTGGGAGGAGGACCAGGGAGGCACACAGAGGAGGGCATAGTTTGAGGGTGAGAGCTGGACCCTGGAATTGTTCTTTGGGGTTGAGATAGGGGCCCTGCCATGCCTGCTATTGACCTCAGGCAGGTGGCTTGACCTCTCTGGGTTTCTCTGTTTTGTGTGTCTGTCGTGTAGGCTGTATGGCATGGGTACAGCCCTCACTTTTTCCAGTCCAATGAAGTCATTGGGTGTCCAAGAAGAGCACCACACAACGTCCAATCTGAAAGAAGGGTTTAGTAGGTCAGTTGAGGCTATCATCAGGGCCTCCTGTTTCACAGAACTCTGCTGGTTTGGAGGTCGCTTTAAGAAGTCAGGGAAGACCCCCTCCCATCCAATTCAATGCCTGCAAACAGAATGTACTTGCTCTTCAGGAGCTGCTGCCCTGAAGAGGCTGGTCCTGCGGCCCAGGCGTCCACGTGCTAAGTGTGTGTTGGAGCATCAGAGGTATCTTGCGGGTGTGACGGCGGCCCTGGCGCCTGCAGTCCTGAGGATGGCCTGTAGATGGCAGCAGAGGCACGCGCAGGGTTCCTGTACCGAGCCGCTCCTCCCCAGTCCCAGGTAAGCCAGCCACCTCGTTCGGGTCCCTTCGTCTCGGGGTTGGGGGGTCTGTGCAGGAGTAGTGCAGATTTGTCCAAGGAGACAGCAACACCCCTTGTGGCTCTAGACAAGTTGTTTCCTCTCAGGGGGCCTCCATTTCCTTCCTCTGTGAAATGAGCTATTCAAGAGCGTGTAATGGGAAAATGGCTCAAAATAAGTAAGAAAGCCTAAGATGGGCTCTCAGAATAGACCTAAACGGGAAGGAAAACCCACGAAGCTAATACAGAAGAATATCTGTCTCTGGGGTGGGAAGAGGAGACTTTAATTGCCAAAAGCCCAAACTACAAGGTGAAAAGCTGATGGCTCTGGCCAAACGGGAATTTAGAATTTCTAGTCTAAGGATGTTGTATCCCAAGGGAAAAAATAAGCCAAGGATATAAGAGGAGACGCACAAACTGGGAGAGAAGACGCCCAGAGCCACCAGGAACTAGGGAGGCGCGAATCACAAGGAAATGCCCTTTCACTCAGCATTTTGCTGGCGAAAATGAAGACTTTAAGTACGCCGGCGGTAGGGCACCACTAAGGAAGTCTCAAGCCTGACAAGCCATATTGGAGGGCCGCCTGGCAGCCTGCAGAGAAAACACCCAACTCAGGTGGCGATCCAAGACCTGAGCTGTCGTTTCATAGGTCGCAGGTAAAATCCTGGGTTCGCACAGTCTGGGCTGGAGCCGACGGCTCTCGCGAGTGGGTCTCCGGGCGCAGCCCTGGGAGCCGAGCAGGTTGCCGCCCACTCGAGAAGCCACGCCCCTGCTACGTCGGTCCCGGCTCAGGGATGGGGTGTGTCCAGGGCTCCCGCCCCGCCCCGTCCCGCCCCGTCCCGTCCAGCCTCAGAGCTCCTGGCCCTTTAAGGCTGTCAGAGTTGGGCTTCAAGTCCTGGACGCGCGGGGGAGGGGGTGCAGTCACGTGGGCCGCGGGCGGCGCGACTCGCGGCTCTGGGCGCTGGTGGCCGCCGGTTCCCGCTCTCGCCGCCCCTGCCTTTCGCCCGCACCGCCACCAGGTGCACTACTGTCAGGTACGCCCTCGCCAGGTACGCCCTCAGGGGCCCCCTCAGCCTCATGTTCCCGGGGTCCCTAGGCCACTCCGGCCCCTTCCCTCTTGATAGGTGCCAAGGCGGATTCGCTCGTGCCCGGCTGCGTGACCACCGCCCCCTGCCGCGCGTCCCTACTCTCAGGCAATCCTCCCCGCGTTCCTAGCGCTGTCCCCAGCTCGCAGCCCCGTCAAGCTCAGGGCCTCCAAGGCTGGGTGTGTTGAAGGAGTCTGGGCGGAACTCACTCTTCCCCTCTTCCCTAGGTGGCCCTGCAGGCGCCAGGCTGGGGCCGCCTCTGAGCGCCCCGCGGGGGCCATGGATGGCGAGACAGGAGAGGAACAGGGGGTCCCATTGCCCCGGGCAGGTGCGCCCTCCGGACCCGACCCAGCGGGCTCTCTGGACTTCGCGGGGCGGCCAGAGCCCAAGAAGCACGCAGTGACCGATGACTACCAGTTGTCCAAGAAGGTGCTGGGCCTGGGTGTGAACGGCAAGGTGCGGGAGTGCTTCCACAGGCTAACGGGGCAGAAGTGTGCTCTGAAGGTCAGTGACCCCCTCACTGCCGCCTGGGTGACCTGGAGGGTCCAACGGCAGAGGCCTGTGGGTGCAGAGTGTGCCCAGGGCCCTTGCTATGTTTCTTTCTTGTGTTCTGCATCACGCTTCATCCTCACACTCCCCTGTAGCAGCAGGCTCCTGGTCCTCGGTGCTTCACGGCTGGGAAACTGAGGTTTAGCTAAGCTCCTGAAACCCCAGGGAGCAATGGGTGGAGTCTGTGTAGCTGGAGCTTGCTGTACCAGGAAGCGGGGAAGGAGTGGCTCCTGGCTCTGGGATCCTAGCCTGGCCTTTGTGTTCCCGCCCAAGGGGAACCCTCTTTCCATGGAAAGCTATTCTGATTGGAATGGGTCCGAGTTTCCCTGTCTGAGGCCCAGTCACCACCAAAGCCTGGGGTGGGGCTGCTTTCTCCTGTGGCCCTTGCGTGCCTGGGCTGGAGTGGTGGGCGCCTTCCGGAAGTGGCTGGTGGGCAGGAGGCTGCTGATGGGTGCCAGCTGAGTCATGGGCCCATGCTGAGAGGGGCAAAGCCCTGCTCCATGCCTGAGGGCGGGCCAGCCAGCTGACCACCGGCTCCCTGGAGGCGGGGCTAGGACCTGGCTGACACAGATGGAATCTGCGGGGTCTTAGGGGTGTCTGATCTAGCAGCCGTCTAGCTCTGGCTTAAGTCACTTAATTCTGGGCCCAGGACCCTACCCCATATCCAGAATCCCTTGAACTTTGGAACTTCAGTCATATGCAGTTTGTGCCAGTAGCCACCTGGATCGGTAGAGTGTGGCAAGGAGAGCAAAGGATCTTCCAGATGTTGTAGTTATGAGCCTGAGCTCGGAGTCCAGCTCTAATTTCTGGCCTGCATTTGCCAGCTCCGTGACCTTGGATTAGGTGCTCGAGTCTTAAAACCAGGCTTCTGCCTCTGTTTAGGGGAAGGCCAGGGGCTGGGGCGAGCTTGGAATGAGATGATGTGTATAGAGTCATTGGTATAGAGCCCGATGCGGGCCTGGAGGGGCTACAGGACTTATTTAGGGCACAAGGTCCTCAAGGGTCTGAGCAGAAACCTGGGCTCAGCTCCTTGTGTCTTTCCCAGGGGCACTAGGGCTGATGGAGGGGTCGTATCCCTAGGGTGGCCCTGGAGGGGATCAGGAGAATGGGTCTGGAGGAGGCTTGGGGCTGGGCTGCTGAGGCTGGGTCGCAGACACAGCTTTTTGCCCACGAAGCCAGCGGTGGAGTGGGGCTGGGGCCCCTTGGGAGCCCCGGGCAAGTGGTTCTTGGAGTCCTTTAGGGAAAAGGTGGCTCTTCTGAGGGGGGATGGGTCTCAGGGGGTGAAAAGGGAGCGTTGTACCCTCTCCCTCAGCACCTTCTTAGTCCCGTCACCTGAGTTAGTGTCAGGGCACAGTCTGGGTGGAGAGGGGCTGCCTGAGGCCGGAGAACCTCTTCTTAATACCAAGGCTCGGCCCGTGAGCCAGGGCTGGGCTCTGAGCGCCGCCCCCCGCCGCCCCCCACCATGCTGCTCCGGGTGCTGCGGGCGAGGCAGGCTCGGCGAGGGAGGCCGCAGTCCGAGGGCCCAGGCAGCACTGGCTTCAGCAGGCTGGGCCTAGGCTCTTCCCCGGAGACGCTGTGTCTGACAGGTGACTCAGGGGGACCTCTGACCGCGGCGATTTCCAGAGCATCTCTCCTCGGATGTCGAGCCTCAATACTGTCTCTGTCCTGGACTGGGACCTGGGGCCAGCTGAGAACACATTCCCCTGCTGTGCCCCTTTAGGCTTTACGGGCGAGCCTGGCTAGGCCTACCGACTTCGGACCTTCAGGACTTGGCCCTATGTCGGCACTCATGTGGGACATGGATGAGATTTGGACCCCACCTTCCTGTTCTTGCCTCCTCACACCCCTGTTTCAGGGACCAAGCTTGGAACTTCCTACCCAGCTTGGTCGAGTCTTGTTCCATCTTCCCAGGCGGGATTATTAGCACAGCCTCAGGCACCTCGCGCCTGTACTTCGAGGGGTGGTTCTAGCCTTGAGGAGGGACGTGATGTTTTTCTGCTTACATTTTCCTTCTGTCCCCTGCCCAGGAGGGCCAGGGCCTGGGGACCTCAGCACATGGGCAGACCTGGCCCAGGGAGCTCAGCCAGGCCACAAATGGGTCTCAGTCCTTCCTCCGCCTCTGCCTAGCGCGCTACCCAGCTGCCCACGTCAGCCGAGGTGGGGCCCCTGGGCTCTGTGTCTCTCTGCCTCCCCAAACCCGTGTCCCCGTCTCCCAGGCTGGCCTGTCTTCGTCTTGTAGCCTGCACATGTTCAGGCCCTCTCGGCCATTCTCGGTGGTCCAGGCCGAGTGCCCTGGCCTCTCTCCCTGCCCATCCTCTTGGCCTTGTTGCCCAAGATGGCAGATAGTGCCTAGCATGAAGCCTGGAACCCAGCAGGCACTCATGACACAGGAAGAGCTGTGGGTGCTGTCCCTGCAGCTGCTGGTCTTCTGTGGGGACCCGACAGGAACAGGCCCCTCCTTCCCAGGAGCTGGGCCTCTTCCCCTTTCCCTCAGCCCCTGACCGGTCGCTGACGTGGCCCATCTTGGCCTTGTGCACACTCAGGGGCTCCCTCCCCAGTTCAGCTTCCGCAACTAGTGCTATCTTGCCACGCTGCACACCGAGCTGGAGGATGGCCTCCTGCTGACTTCTTGCTCGTGCTCCCCCAAGGCCTGACTGGTTACTCAGCGTCACTCCTCACTGGGCACTGCCCTGACGGCCTGTCTCCCATCAGTCGCCACACCGCATTCAAGACCCAGCCCCTCAATCCTAATCACAGACATGAAAATTGGGACATGGATTTAGTAGTCAGAAACCATGTGACCTGATGGGGATTTGACTGCCACAGAGGCCAGAATCCCCGCCCCTCCTGACTTCCTGCCCTGCCCACCTGTGGTCCTCAGCCTCCCCGCAGGCAAAAGTAACCATGGCACTAAGGTAAATAAAAGCAATAAAGGGCTCTGCGGACGGGCTTGTTGCACGGGAGGAGAGGTAGAATCTTCTTTTTGGCCCTGCTCTTTGCTCTCTGGGGCTGGGAGCGCCCCCCCGGCCCCCCGCTGGCAGGTGTTGGAGGCCCTCAGGGCTCCCTGTGCCCTCCTCTGCTGGTCTTCGTCAAAGAATGTGGCGTGCGGGGTCCACCTGCCCAGGAGATTCCTGCGCAGCCTCCTGGGCGAGGCTGGCCTGTTGGAGCTGGTGCTGTGGAGCTGGATTTGGGGCTGGGTGGGGCTGCCAGGCAGGCCAGGGACTTTCTCATTTGGCAGCTGCCACCCCCTCACCTACCTCTCCAGACCGGTCAGATCAGCCTGTGCAGGGCCACTTGTTTCTGAGTCAACATATCAGGAAGCAGGCGGAGGGGCCGCTGGCAGCCCGGCACAGGAGTCCCCTGTAGTGTTTTCACTGCCCTGAGCTGCTCCCCAGGGGACCCCCTCCTGGCAGGGAAGGTCTGAGGTGCTCAGGCGTTCCGCGCTAGCGGAGCCTGCTAAACTGCCAGGGCTGGCAACGGGCCTTTTAAATGAGGATCCCAGGGAGGGCACCCTAAGAAATATGAACAGTGGCGTTTTCAGCAGGTGTGCATCCTTGGCAGATGCTTCATGCCCTGCCCAGCTGGCCTCGCTTTCAGTTTCGAAGCTGCTCGCCCACCTCCTGGCAGGACCCTGTCTGCCGGGACTCCTAACCAGGAGCTGATGCCAGCCCTCCATGCCTTAGGCCTGGATGCAGTGGATTCCAGGAGTCTCATAAGCAGCTAACAGTTCTCCAGAGCATCCTGTCTGGCAGGCCCTGCTCCCCATGCCCGACACACGTGTTATCTCACCTAACTCCTGTCACGCGGTCCCACTTTCTGGATGGAGGCACTGGGGTGGCGGCTGTCTGTCCCTGCGTTCCTGCCATGAGACGGCACAGGCCAGCAGACGCTCTCAGAGGGCAGAGCACCCATTTGGGGTGGCCTAGGTCCGTTTGGCGGCACATTATTGGCCTTTATGAGGACCCACTGGCAGGCAGCCCGCTCCTGGGGAAGCCAGCCCTGGAGGGTGGGAAGGGGTGGCGTGGCAGGAGCTCTGGGTCCTGGGCTCCCTGCCCTCCTGCCCCTTTGGACCCGAGTGGATCAGGGCCTGTGTAATTGTGACTAAACCTCTGCCATGTGGGAACCAGGGGGCATCGCTATGAGCAGGGGCAGGAGGCAGCTGTCTGCAGGGACCAGGGACCTCAGGGGGGCGTTTCCAGTGCCGGGCAGGCCGAGACGCTGAGAATACTGACTGGGGGTTTCTGGCAGGTTTGGTGTGAAGGTTTCCTTTATCTTCAGACACGGGCTTTGTCCTTTCTGCTTTTCCTTTGTGGTGCCGCCTGCCTTCTCTGCCTCCTTGCCCCTCTCCTTTCTTCTTTCTCAGCTCTGTTTCTCTGGCTGCGGCTCAGTGTCCTGCGTAGGCCTTGCCACTCTCTGTCTGTCTCACAGTTTCAGGCTTGGCCGGACCTTTCTCTGCAGCCTATGGGCTGAGGGCAGGCAGAGGACAGACGGGGGTTGGTCTGATCCCGGGGATTCACCCTAGTCATGGGGGGGGGGGCAGGACAGGAAGGAGGAGCCCCTGGCCGTGCCCATGCCACTCAACAATGTCCCTTCCTGCTGCTGGCCTTGACCAGGTGCTGGTGGCCTTGGCAGCTGGAGCAGCAGCGTCAGGAGCCTTTGAGCCAAGATTGTAACCGGAGGCATCCCCGTGGAGTGTGGGAAGGCGGCCTTGGCGGCGGCCTCTGCTGCAGGTCCCCTTCTTATGGTTCAGTGAGGCTTTGGCCTGGGGCCTGAGCCAGAGCCCCGGAGCCCGCGGAAGGACCTGTGGAGGGGCTGGGAGGGCTTGCGATGTGAGGGTCCCCCTGCCGGTCCCTCAGAGGGCACAGCTGTCTGCGCTCTGTCCGCACACTCCCTGGCAGGAGCGCCCCAGCTCCAGCGTGCTCCCTGCACCTGACCCCTCACCTCAGGGACGCTCA